GCCTCCAAGAGATGCACCGAATCTTCCTGTTACCCAAAGTGGCAGGGGAGGGGGCAGCACTAGAAGGCAGGATGGACTGCAGTGGAGGGAGGGAGGGAGGGAGGGGCCAGGCAGCATGGGGTCTCAGCCAGCAGAGAGCCATGGACAGAGGTGACTAATTTCCCAACTACTCATGGTGAAAATATCACATTTCATGCTTTGTTGCCGATTCAGAGAAAAATCCTATTAAAACCTGCTGGATTATTTATACAGTTTAAACAAATGATGATCAAAGATTTTACATGTTTAGAAAGGAACTCAGACTTCTACGGCCTGGCGGGAGACCCGCCAGGAGTGTGAGCACAGTGTGCGGCAGGGATATCTTGGGCCGGTGGAGGGTGAGTTGGTGCCGGCTGGGGGGGGGGCAGTGACAGCCGTTCTGTCCAGCAGGGGGCGCCCTCCCCCGGCGTCGGTGTCTCTCCTTCCACCTGATCAAAGCACTATAGAAGGGCAATGATTTCTTGTCGCTTTTGTCTAGTCATCTTTCCTCACAGCTCCTGGACCTGATCCAAACTCTACCCAAAGTGACTTTGTGTGGTGCTTGCATTTGTGGGACTGTGATCGGGTGGGACAGGGGCTTTAATCACTGAACACCACACTCCTGTGGGTCACACGCATGAGGGCAGCAGTGTGTGCTGTGTGCCTGTGGTTTCACGATCGGTTGCCTTCATCTTGGTCCCACGCTGAAGGTCTCGCAGCCTGGCTTGTTGCTCCTCTTGCACACACACTGTCGAGTGTGCACACATGGACACAGGTCACTGCTGTACAGCAGGATGCTTTTTGAGAAGCAGTTGCAGCAGCTCATCTGGGGTGTTGGATAGTGGTAGGTAGGTAGAACAGGGCTCTCTGAAAGACTTTGGGGGACCCTAGCCTAGGGGAAATGGCTCCCCCACCCCAACTGTAAAGGACCCACAGGAACTTCTGTGGCCTCCCACCCTGAAGAGAGGGTGCTCAGTGGGTGAGGCCCCCAGCTGGAGGTGGGGAGAAGTAGGGCCTACTCAGCTCAGCAGTGGGGTGAGCAGACTGGGGAGGGTGGGGTGGTGCCTGGGGCAGGAACACAGTGGCTCTGCATCCGCTGCCCTTGCGGCCTGTCCCTGCCCACCAGGCCGTGCTGCCTCAGCAGTTTTATGACCCGGGGCGAAAACACCCTACAGGGGGGCAGTCCGTCCGAGGAGCACGTTCCCCTGCACTCCCACCTCAGGGCTAGGCCAGGGCCCAGCCCAGTTTCCGGTTGAAGAGATCCTGAAGTGGGAGAGACCACGGGCAGTCCTGGAGCCATCTCTCCATAGGGCTGCAGGGGAAAGGGCAGAGAGAGCGGTAGGGTCAGGGCAGGTAAGGGCTTCTCCTGAAGGGACGGAGGAGGAAGGGAGGCCTGGTAGGGCAGAGTTGGAAACAGAGGTGGGGCATCTGGACGCCCCAAGCTGGGTGGGAAAACACAGGAGGAAGCCGCAGCCCAACCTACTGCAAATGCTCAGTGCTGCTGGGGGTCTTGGGAATGAGAAGGCCCTGCTTGGTTTGCTTACATATTTATTTCTTCTTCCTCAAGGCCGATTCTCACAGTGATGGGTGCATCCAGGGTCTGGGCAGCTCCTGAGGAGCAAGGCCCGGCTGGAGGGCAGACGGTCGTCATCGTGGGGACCCTGGCCTGTTTGTTCTCTCTCCCTGCTCTCTCTTTCCTTTCTCCTCCTCCCATTTGTCTTTTTCTCCTAGGAAGAAAGTAGGCTGCACTTGGAGGAGAGAGGGAGGTGAGCAGAGCAGTCTGGTGACCGCAGTGCCCATCTCCACCCGGCTTTCCAGCAGCCTGGCCTGGAGTAGCTGTCGCTGCCGTCACCACAGCCGGCACTTTATTAGAATTTATATGTTGCCCCGATTGAGGGGGAAAATAATTAACACCCCTACAAATATATCGTAAACAAAATATTTATTAGAAATAAATAACTCATTTATTTTACATATTTCATTTCAACAATAACATTACCCAATTTATCATTTAACATTTTTGCAAGACAACTTAACGACTACTTATTAGCATTTCCATTTTTCACCCGCACACCATAACGCACGGGCGCTCCCCAAATGGCCTGGCACAGGCCGAGCCAGGAGCTAGGAAGACCCTGGGGAGGGCTGCGGACCCCTGAACCTGAAGATACAGTGGACCCTCAAGTTACGACTGGCCTGACATATGAACACTTGGATTATGGCTGGGATTTTAGTCTTAACTTAGGAATACAGTCTTGAGTTACAACCTGAATGCCAGTGGCTTGTGCCTCCAGGTGGTCTCAGATGCAGATGTGACCCTTAGAGACTTCTGGAAGGAACATGACAGCATCCTTTCCTGTGTGGGGTCAACTGGGGAATCCTGGGCCACTGTCTCTCTAAGGACCCTGAGATCTGCCTGTGTACAGGAGAGAGACTCTGAAGGCTGTGTAGAGGAGCTTGAGCCTCAGTTGACCAATTTAAGTCACAACCAACCCTTGGGAACGAACTGAGGTTGTAAGTCAAGGGTCCACTTTATGTGAAGACCAGGATTCATTCAGCTGCTGGGGTTCTGGGCTGTGAATGCAGGCCCTGGGGCTCTGGCCAGAGGAGGGATCTGGATGTGGGAGAAGCCAGGTCAAACCAGCTGCTGATATTCTGTGTCTGTAAGTCTTCCCTACACAGTGGCAAGTCTCAGCCAGCTCTCCTGCCTCCTTCCTCCCTGGGCAAACCCTCTCCTTGCCTGGGGGAGGAGAGACAGGTGACAGTCCAGGCTGGGGCTCCAGTCCCCAGAGGCCTGTGGGGTACTTGACTGGTGCCTGGAATGAGTGGATGGGGTCCCTAAATGCTTATGGAGCCGAACTGTACCCCAAACTCTTCTCAGGCCCTGAACAGACACCTTGCAGTGCGTGTCTGTGTCAGACGTGGGGACAGGGAACAGATGAGTCCCCTCCACAGCGCCAGCCACAACAGCTGGAGCTCAGGGTTCCAAGCCTGAGAGGATCCCTCAGAGCGCAGAGCCTCGCCCTGTCACGGGAGGGGAGGTGGCAGGCTGGGGTGCTGGGGCCCAGGAGGCAGGGCAGGGGCCCTGTTGAGTCAGCTCCCAGGCAGGGGGGCAGGGCCCAGGGGGAGCACAGACAATGGCTGGAGGTTGGAGGGTCTGAAACTGGAGACTTTAATAAAAGCCACTGACAGCAAATAAAGCTGCCAGGGGAGTCCCATTACCCACAACAAGGACCCTTTGTGAGCCCAGGCTGAACTGACCCTTCACCGCCAGCCTGGCCACATCCCACCCACGGGGCCCCAGCTCCCCACCAGGCCAGTGCAGAGCAGCTCAGGGTCCCGGCTCCGGGGGCCGAGGGAGCCCGGTGGGATGTTCCCACAGAATGGGAGCCCTTCTCAAGTCTACCCCTAATCACCCTGGTCTGATGCCACCAGCTGCCAGCTCTTGTCCTTTTCACAAGTTTCCAGAGCACTCAGGAGCAGCGCTGTCACATAGGTGGGGAGCTGGGGCCGCAGCCAGGGCTCCACTCACCCAGGCTGGTGGGGAGAGAGAGGGGCTGCACAGCCGTCCTGTCCTGATCCTAATCAGACTGAGATGGCCCTTGGCCCCAGATGGCTCTGTTCCTCTCTGGACCCCTCGCTGACCCCGAAACCTGTTACGTTAGGAAGGCTGGGGTGCTGGGTTGGGTCCTGGAGCTGCTGTTTGTCAGTTGTTTGATACTGAGTGAGTCATTTCTCCTTTCCGAGCCTCAGTCTCCTTATACTTGGGGTGGGACTACTTTAACATTGCCCCCTTGATGATTAGTGACCTGATAAGTACACACCAGCATCCCACAGAGGTCCTCATAAACCAGTCACTTTCCTGAAACCAAACTGTGATGTGAGCATTGAGCTCCTCGCAGGCTTGGAGCTCTGCTCTGCTTACATCCGGCAATGATGTTGCTAAGGGCACAGGAAGCTTCAGGGGAAAACTGGAGAAAACTGTGGAACACATTCTGACCCTTGGCCTGGGCTAAGCAGCCCAGTGGTGGCTGGAGGGTTTGGGGGAGCCATGGGGAGAAGAAAGCTGGGGGTCATAGCGCTGCTTGCAGTTTAGATCGGGAAAGAAGCACATTGAAGACACCTGGGGGCTCAGATTTAGCGCTGAGGGTGCAGGTGGAAACTTTTCTGAGGTTAGGTGCGCAGGTGAGAGGTACAAAAGGGGCGGCGACCCATCCATTTTGGGGTTGCTGTTTCAGGGGCAAGGTGGGTCTCCAGACGGGCTGCTCACAGGGTCAGAAGGTGGGGGTCCAGCCCTCCCAACACCCTCCCAGTCCAGCAGGAGGGGATTCTGGCGCAGGGCGGGCAGGGAGATTAGGAGGCCTCTCAATTGCCTTAATGGGCTCTAAGAGGCGGGATCCTATTACAGCTCGGGGTGCCCCGGGGTGCCTTGCTGGGAAGACAAGCTAATCTGCCATGCAAATTAAATCCTGCCTCAAGACGCAAGGCCTGCTTAATGTGATCCATTACACAGTTTACTTGTTTATATCTAATATTGGAACAGGCAGCCCGGGCGGGCGGCAGCGGCAGGCGGAGCGGCCCAAAAGCAGGAGAGTAAATTACCAGCAAAATGAGCTTTTCCAGCCTCTGCTGCTGCCACCACCCGCCTGCCCAGCTCCCAGTCCCGGCCCCCGCCGCCGCCTGCAGCGTCCCCTGGAGCCCCTTGCTGCCCCGCTTTTTCCCTCTTGGCCTTCCAGCCTCCTCTTTGTCTCTTCTGCCGGCCCCTTCCCGTCTCTCTGGCTCCTGGCTTCCTTCTCACAAGTCTCTGCCCCTCTCTCGGGCTTCTGTGGCTTACTGCTGCCTCCTCCACATCTCTCAGTCTTGAGACACAGGTCTGAAGGTGTGGGGGGCCTGGGCACACCGGTGTGCACGCACCTGGGGGAGAGGCAAGGGCTCAGGGGTGCGGGGCACTGCTCCTGATTGTGAGGTGTGAGGTGGCCTTGAGCGTGGACCTGGAAAGCGTGGAGGCGCGTGGCCAGGTGGGACTGTGTGAGTGAGCACAGCTGTGCCCCGGCACCTGCCTCCGTGAGCGTCAGGGGTAGGTTCAGTCAGCCCCAGGAGAGGCCGCCACTCACTCACTCACCCTTCAGGGGGGCCTTCCAGCGCCTCGTGCCTCTGAGCTGCCTCCTGGGGCCACCGCTGTCGCCTTCCTCACCCTCCCTGCTCCTGGAGCACCTGTCCATCCACCCTCCTCCTCTCCTGCCCTGGTGCACTCCTCACCCCGACTTGGCTCTGTGCCCCTCTGTGAAGAACCCCTCCACCTGGACAGCTCCACACCCAAGCGCGGCCTCCAGGGGAGCCGGAGAACAGTCAGTGCCAGAGGCAGACAGGGAGGCGACACAGCAGAGGTGAGGCTGGCAGTAACATGGCACAGTGGTGAGAGGCAGGCCCCAGGCAGGGCAGCCGAGCACCCCTGATGGGAGCTTGTGCCCAGGGGGTGCGGGGGTCATTTCAGACTGAAGCTGCTCAGGGCTGAGGGCCTGGGTGTCCCCAGCCTCTGGGCTCGATGGGGCAGGTGCCCCACAGCCCCAGCCAAGGAGGTAAGTCCTTCTAGCCCAAGGCTCTGGACCGCGCTGTGCACAGCTGCTGCCGCCACACCTGCCCCCAACATGTACACAGGCACGTGTGCGTACACACACACACACACGCACACACACAAGCACGCCCGGCTGGAGGCTTGCCAGGGAGGCCCTGGCCCAGGTCCCTGGCCTGCGCGTGCCTGCCGCAGTCCTTACACTCGGGCCTTCTGGTGCCGCCACCTCCCGGGCCTCCTGGCCCCTGCTGGCCCATTCCTCAGCCCCTGGGACTCCTGGTCCCTCACTGCTTTGGGTTCCCACCGACGGAAGCCTTGCTCTTTGGCTTCTGGGCACAAGCCTTCCACCCCGACCCCGGCCCTGGCTGGGTGGGGGGTCCTGTGGGTGGAGGGCAGGAGGGAAGGTGTGAGTCTGTGTGTCTGTGTGGAACGGGGGCTGTTTAGATAAACAGATGGCAACAAATGGCATAAAATTATATACCCATAATGTCAGTTCATAACATTTTGTTCGACATACTTGATTTAATCGCTTAGCTGACGATTTGGCTTTTGGGCCCATATGGTGGGGAATGAAGCTGCGTGGCACCGGCTCCAATCTGGCTCTTTTATCACCAAGGCTGGGGCGCGGGGATGGGGGTCGGCTGGGGGAGGAGCGCGGTGCAGATGGAGAGGGAGCAGCGGACAGGAGCCCTGGGAGGGGCGGCTGCTGGGGTGAGGAGACTGTGCCCCTGGACCCCAGCTGGAGCAGGGGGCGTGGATGCCGGCCCTGTCCCCAGAGGCTCACAGCCCAGAGCTGGACCTGTCTTTTGCTCTCTTCAAAAGCAAGACCCACCCAGACCTCTGTGGCAACTGGTCCCTCCCACTTCTTTGGAATTTAGGAATCTGTGTGTGTGCTTGTGTGCGGGAGGGTGTCCGCAGCCTTGGATAGCTTGTGTGTGGGATTCGGTCTTGTGCTTTGCCCAGCTTCTACGCTGAGCGATGGTGAAAGGGTGTGAACAGTGTCGGTGACTGTCACATCTGGTGGGACTCTGAGTGGAAGTGCAAGGTGTGTGAACCTGAGTGTGGTGTGACGGATGACGGCAGGGGAGCGGGGCTGGCTGAGCGGCGGCACACAGGAGTTGTGAGTGTGCGCCATCCCGCAGAGGCTTATTCTGAGTGTGACTGCTGGTTCGTGTGTGACTTCACGCTTTGCAAACAGAAGTCAGCCCTGGGTGGGCACCCTAGATGCCTCGGACTCTGAGCGCACAGGTCTGTGATTGCCAGGTGCTTCCCACAGAGCTGCCCTCTCCCCTTCCACCCTCTCTGCCCGCTGGCCTCGGAGCGCTGCCAGCCCCACAAGCGGCAAATCTGGGCCCAAATCAGCACCATCACTCAAGTTGCAGCCTCATCTGCCCCCTGCTGGGTGCTGCCCGCTGTCTCCGGAATGGGCGAGTGCTGGCCTGGGTGGAAGGCCCCTCACCCATCTCCCTGGGACCCTGTTCCCAGCCCCAGTGCTGGCCTTGTGTGTGTTGAGGCCGGACTGTGCTGGGGGACTTGCTGCTTGTCTGCCCTCCGGCATCTCTGCTCCTGCCTCTGCCTCTCCCTTCCTGCGGGCCTTTCTTCTCCATTTCTGCTCCTCCCTCTGTCTTCTCTTCTTGTTCCTGGGCCACTTCTCTGAGTCTCTGAAAGGGCAGGTAAGGACAGAGCTGCAGCTGGGGCACAGGCCCTCTCTGTTTGGCTAGTCTTTTTTTTTTTTGGTACCGGGGATCGAACTCGGGTCCTTGCGCTTGCAAGGCAGGCCACCGAACCACTGAGCTAAATCCCCAGCCTGTTTGGCTAGTCTTTTTTTTTTTTGGTACCGGGGATCGAACTCGGGTCCTTGCGCTTGCAAGGCAGGCCACCGAACCACTGAGCTAAATCCCCAGCCTGTTTGGCTAGTCTTACTACCACTCTTCCCTCAAAGCAGCAGGAAGGCCTTGGGGTGGGCGGAGGGTGGGAATGCAACAGGGCCCTGCTTGGGAAAGGTGCGCGCCCCAGCCACGGCCTGACTGCCAGGCCATCCGGTCCTTCATTCACTCACTCGGGCAGTCAGTGATCACGGGGTCAGGCAAGGCGCTAACCCAGCCGAGCACGGTGCTTCTAGACTCGGACTTGAGAGCCTCAGCTATGTACGGGAGATGGGTGTGAAAGCATGTAGGAGACGGGAAAGAGGTTCCAGTGGTGCCGAAGCGGGGCTGAATTCTAAGGGGCAGACTTTGGGAGCCTGGGGAGAAGCATTAGGAGAAAGTACGCTGTCTGGTGCATAAAAAACATTTTGTTTTTCTACTTACAGAAATCATACTTGGTCAGTGCAGAATGCTTAGAAAGTACCACAAAGCTTAAAGAAAGACAAAAAGACAAAACGATTTACAAATCGTAAAGAAAATCTCAGGGAGTCTTGAGAGATCACAGAGTTTCGCAGGACGAATAACGGGATGCTGGGTGAGCTGGGTGCGGTGGAGTTCAGAGGACAGCGTCCTAGGTACGGCACAGTTTTATGTCCTACTTTAGAAGAAGTGTTCTGGAAGGTGGGTGAGGTGGCTGAGATGTGATGCAGAGACCAGCGAGGTAGTCACTGGGAAGTGATGAGCAGCCGCACAGTGGGAGGGGAAGAAGGGAACCCCAGGTGAAGCCGGAAGGAACCCTAATGGAGCCCAGAGGAAGTGGGCGCCACACCCAGGCTGGGCGGCAGCGGCGGAAACTGAGGCCTCTTCCTCCAAGGCAGAGGGCCGGCCAGTGCCCTGGCCCATTGCCTTCTTAGACCCGCTCCCTGGGTGCTCCTGGAAGTCTTCGAGCAGCTGTGCTCCTTCCTGGGTCAGCCCTGCTCCCCTGCAGGCACAGGGGAAGAGTCCAACAAATGCTGTTTTCTGCCCAGGGTGCAGATCCTTCTTCAGCTCTGACTTTGCTTGAAAGACATCGGGGCTTCCTGCTGCATCTTCAAAGCCCTCCAGGTCCAGCCTTGCCCGGTCTCCCAGCCTCATCTGCTGCAGCCCCTGCTCTCGGACCCTGCGTGTGGTTTGCGTGCTCTTTCTCTTGGTGCCATCTCCCTCTTCCAGCCAGACAGCCCAGCTGGATCTCAATGGTCTGGGAGCCTCTCTTAGCCCTCTAGAGCCCCTGGGGTCCTCACAAGGATTTTCCTCTGGTCTGAAGTTTCATATCCCCTCAAATTCACATTGAGACCCTAACTGTCAGGGTGGTGGTATTAGGAGGTGGGGTTTGGGGCAGGTGGTTAGGTCATAAGGGTGGAGTCCTCATGAAAGGGGCCAGTTCCCTTATAAAAGAGACACCATGGTCCCTTCCACCATGGGGGACACAGCAAGAGGGTGTCATCTGTGAGGGAGCAGGCCCTTGCCAGACCCAGGATCTGCTGCTGCCTTGATCTTGGACGCCCAGCCTCCCTAAATGGGAAATGTATTCTTTCATTCTTTCCCTTCTCTCTCTCTGTCTCTCTCTCTGTCTCTCTCTCTCTCTCTCTCTCTGTCTCTCTCTCTCTCTCTGTCTCTGTCTCTCTCTCTCTCTCTCTCTCTGTCTCTCTCTCTCTCTCTGTCTCTGTCTCTCTCTCTCTCTCTCTCTCTTTCTTTCCAAGGGCCTTACTATGTAGTCCAGGCTGGCCTTGAACTCACTGTGATCCTCCTGCCTCAGCCTCCTGAGTGCTGGGATTACAGGAGAACACCACACCCAGTGAAATTGATTTCTGCTGTTTATAAAACACCCAGTTTGTGATATTTTGTCATAAACAGACTAAGACACCCCGCCCATGCTGGAGACTGAGCCCAGGGGGGAGCACTGAGCTATATATCCAGCCCTTCTAATTTTATTTTAAGACAGAGCCTCCTTAAATTACCCAGGCTGATTTCAAACCTGAAAATTTCCTGCCTCAGCCTCCCAAATATCTGGGAATACAAGCACGTGTCACTACACCCGGCCACGGTTTCCCTTTCAGAAGACCTTATTATTTCGTATCATCTTTGTGCTCGACTGAACGGAAGTCCTTTAGGCAGGGCTTGGTTTTTAAACTCTCGCTCTCCGTAGCGCCAGTGCCTAGAATAGCTCAGGGAATGTATTCGGTGGGCGAATGTGCCGGTGGTGCACTAGGGTAGGCTGTGTGGAGACAGGGCTGGGGTTGAGGAAGCGGGGTGTAGGGAGGGCTGGCTGCAGAGGCAGGGCTGGGGCCGGGAGGTAGGTGTTTATGGTGAGGTGGGCCTGGAGGTGGGGCCGTGTTGGCACAGTGCTGGGTCTGGGCGCAAGTTAGCAAGGCCGTGGTAAATGGTGAGCAGGCAACCGCGGTGTCAGAGAAAGGAGGAGATGGGCGTTCAGGGGCAGGGAATGGGCAGCAGAGGAGGAGAGCACAGCGCGCCCCCGGCCTCTGCAGGCCTCTGACTCTCAGCACTGCTGACCCAGCGTTTCCTCAGTAGCCAGCGTCTCCCCAGAAGGAGAGGAGAGGAGAGGAGACCGGGGAGAAGAGCCTAAAAGGGTGAAGAAGGATTTTCATTATGAAGTTAATTAGCTTCAGAGCCGCTGCACCTTTCAGGACGAGGAATTAGAGGGATTTAATTGCTTTATCAGCCTTCCCTTTGATTTTCAGCAATCAGGCCGATTCCATTTAATTTAACTGCCACAGACGAGGAGAAAATTGATGCGCTCACCTGCCTCGGAGCAGAAAGAGAGCGCGGGAAGAGGGAGAGGGGGAGCCAGAGAGACTGGCGAACCCAGAGCCTTCAGATTAATGCAAACCAGCAGCCTTTGCTCACAAGTGGAGACAGGGTAGCCGCGAGGGGTCGGGAGCCTGTGCAGCTT